TGGTTGTATGTGGGGATTAATAAGTCACCTCCACAACACATTAATTAATAAGTGCCTTTTCATGTCGATAATATTTTTACTTTGGTTGTCTGCTTGTTTAACCAGGACATGTGGTGTACATAATTTAATACTTTAATAAAAATGCATTGTCCCTAAAAATAAAAATATTTATAAAAAGATTTACATTAAATATGAATTCTATCACACTAGTTTTAAATTGGACACTCAAGTTAGAGATGTATTTTTCAAATTTTTTAGTCATTAGGACATTGATCTGTCTAAAAGGATATTTACATGTCTAAAATTTACATATCTATATCTACGTGTCCAAACGTCACATATTTATCCAAATGTTATATATTTGTTCATGTGTCACCTATCTATTCAATGTCACATATTTGTCCACCTCGCTGCCAGCCTTCATTGCCAATTGCTGTCCATCGACTACTAGTGACTTTCTGATGACTTCTCTAATCAATTTTTTGATGACTTTTCCGGTAATTTTTTAACGTGTGTTCTTGTTATCAAAATAGATTAAATTTTAAACTAAATAACATGACTTATTAGTGTGGACTTTTCAAATTAACCTTTTTAAATTCTGAGCACTATTTTAAAATACATAAGAGTAATTTCACTAGTCGTTGCTAAAATAACAATGTGAAATTAATAATTTAATATGCCACTGAATCAAAATATTAAATTTGGAAAATATTGCTCTACTGATACAAATTTCATATTTTTTTTGGTCGGTGGAAGAGCCAACTAAGGATCGAATGGTTTTTCACTGCCGTTGTTAATAAATGCCATTAATTCTACAGTGTGCCTTTGTTAATTAATGCCATTAATTTCGAAAATTATTTTATTTTTTATGAAAAATTCTACAGTGTGCAATACATACCATATGTAATTCTATCATAAAATTACATAAATTTTTATGAACTTATCTAATAAAAATGTGTAAATTGAACACAAATAAATTCATAAAATCACATAAATTTTTTTGAACTTACCGAATTCGTTTTCAACTTATATATTTTTGTGAGATAACTTATATAAAATTCATAAAAATACATAATTTTATGCATTGCACATCGGAGCATTTTCTTTTTTATAAGTTAGATATTTGACATTCAAATTATATTGAAATCATAAGTTCAGAATACTTTCATGGATGAACTGAATTGATACAAACAATATTGCAATAAAGTTTGATATTTAATATAAGGTTTGTTGATGTCATCTTTTAATAACTGGACAAATTGGTAGGGAAGGATTTTTTGTTTAGTAATGTTAAAATGTTTGTCTTTTTACAATGTTTAGTAATGTCATCATGGACAGTGTGATATTGTATTAAGGGAAATAACAATTCAGTATGAATTTGAAAAAACAATTTTTAAATAAGTGGTAAAAAATTATGAACGTTAATAATAAAGTATTAAAAATTTTCATGAAATTGTAATTATTTTTAAAAGATGCCGCCACTAAGTTGTTATTTTCCCTTGTATTAATAACATACACAAGTGATGAAATCCATTCAATAACTAGTTCTGACAAATAAGATGGTAAATAAAAAAAAATAATAATAATTTGGATTTTTCAAGTTAAAATCTGAACTTGTAAGAGCTTGAGGAGTTCATGGAAAGCCTATTATGGTTCTATTTCGATAATTTGAACCTTCAACTCATCGACATGAGTACAAATTAGTCTCATAATAATTGTCTGTGAAGTTGAGATTTTCAACTTTAGCAAATCTAGACTCGATCAACAAATTTATGATTGTAGAGCTCTCCATATATATTATCCATAAAATAATTACTTTGATCTGCTACCCCCACATTTGCATTCCCCATTTACCGTTGCATGGTCCTCGCAAAATTTTTTTACGACTTATGGCTGTCACAAAAAATAATTTTTTTAATTGTGAATCGTAATATTTTTATATTTATCTTAAAAAATAAATGATTTATTTTTAAAAATCTACTTGACATTTATTTTTTTGTGAAACAAACATGATAAAGTATTATGTTTATCAAATTGATCTATTTTTTTAAAAAAAAAATAATATATATTAAAAATCTTACAAAATAAATAATTCAAATTATTAAAATAAAATCTGTGTGAGTCCACGAGCCTTAAAATTCTCTCAATTTGCATTGTGTTTGGTTTATTTTCTGAATTCATTTTTTTTTAAATTGAATTTTTTATTTTTCGTATTTTTTTTTTTGTTTTTAGTGAATATTTTTCAAATTTTAAGCAATTTTTTTTTTTTTTTAAAAAAAATTAGATACACCTTACTTAGATGTATCTAAAAAGTAAAATAATTTTCAAAAAATATTTTAAAAAATCAATAAATACACAAGAATATAAAAATGTATTGAATTTTCGTATTTTTTTTATATTCTTGGTATTTAGTAAAGTTTTTAAAGATTTCTCTTACTTTAATTGTATTTAAGTTAGGTATATCTAAATATTAAAAAAAAAATTGTTTTAAATATTTAATAAAATCAGTGGAAAAAAAAAAACAAAAAATTTTAATTTTTTAAAAAGTGAAACAAAAAAAAATGGTAATTGTATATTTAAAGTGCTCAAATATTCCTATTGGCTAGTTAACCTGATCCATGCACAGACTTCAAGGAACCTGCCGTAGTTGAATTTTTAAATGGCAATAATAACGTATATTCACTAAACACCATTACAACATTTCATTAGGCTCTCTCGCTCTCTCACATCAAATTATATTTTAAATTACAGCCTTTGATTCCAAAAAAACAACCATGATTCTTTAGTTTGTTTATTAAGATATGTTGGTAAACAATAATGCTTTAATTAATGTGTCACTTTTACATTAGTCATACAGGGATTAGTCGAGGTAAGCACAAACTAATCCAGACAGTCTCAATTATCAAAAAAAAGAGAAAAAAAACTTTTACATTAGTCACAATATGTATGGTTAAACCCATTTAATCAATGAATTATGATAACCAAAATGATAAATTAAGTATAATACATAAATATAATTATTATAAGCGTTCCCGTTGACAAATAAATAAATGTAGATATATGTATATGGTGTTGCCAATTTGGTCCCACCTTGCTCCTCCCAAATCATTTTGAAAAGCAAAGGTTCAACTGGGGGTTAAAATGTTCAGTATCAATCTCCATCACCTTGGATCCAAACAGTCCTAGTATCATCCTCCTCTCCTTCCAAGCAGGCAAATTATGTCTTCTTTTATTTGCCAAAATTAGCGATTCTACAACTACTACTACACTTATCCATATGATGCTAGCTAGCCCAGTTGTTCAATTCCATTATTATCTACCAAACACAAGGACATGTTTACAAAATTTATGCCAACTAATGTACTCAGTAAGATAAATGGTGCTGAATATTTGAGGGTTTTTTTTATTTTATTTTTTTTATTTAAATTTTTAAGATTTTTGTTGTGTGCCGAGTTATTTGGTGTTGAAAAAAATTAATTATTTAGGAAATTGAAGGAGATGTGCTTTTAACTTATACTATCAATTTTTAACTTATAATAAATTACACCAAGCAAGCTCAATGTGCTTTTGAAATGAAATTTTTGTATGATAAAATATACATCGTAAATAAATTTGAACAATATATTAACAGTAATATTATAAACTTAGATTTAATTACTCAAAAATTATACAGAATTGTCATATTATGATTCAGATTTATTCTATATATGAACCCTACACAAATTTAATCTCAACCATATAACTCTTATTTAGGGTACATTCGGGATTTGTAATTGGATTCATACGAAAAATTATATACATACATAATTTAAGACAAGAATAATGTGACTAGTATTCTTGCAATTATATATGAACCAAATGCCACATTTATTTGGCAGATTAGGTTGAATGAGATTGTTAGTGAGGAGATAGTTAATAAAGAGATTATTAATGTGAGAATTGTTAGTGAGAAGATTAAGTAAAAATGTATTTGTTTTAATGACAGTAGGAGAGATGATTAGTAATGAGATTGTTAAATTATTTTTACATAAAATAAAAATAAAATGTTTCTATATTAAAAAAAATCTAAAACAAAATATTTGAAAAAAAATTACAAATAACAAATTGCACTTGGGTTAAAAAAAAAGAAAAGTAAAGTGCATCTTAATCCCCCCCACTATTTTTTCAATTCCAGTCCATATGAGGGCAACTTAATCCTGTTGAGGTGTGGGAGTAATACTCCACCTGGAGTAGCAATCCCTCTCCACAAGGAACAAACAAGCTGTAATGGGACCTACCTCCATACTATTCCAATCCCACCTCATAATCTGCAAAACAAACATGACCAAAGTGATGAATATTTTGACTACTAATAAATGACTATAAATGAAATATATCATTTGTGTATGAGTTTTATGTATGTATATTCTATGAATAATGCTACATGTATTAATTAGTATACTAACTAGTGTATCAATTGATGATGTGATATAATTTAAATTTTTTTGATATTTGTAATATAATTAATTAGTGTGGTTAATAATAATGTCATAACTAGTGTTGATGACTAGTTAGTACACTAATTGGTACATGTAATACCACCGATATTCTATTTATATAATATCATTCTTTTTCATATATTAAATATTTTTCATATTTTTAATCAATTTTGTCTAAGTAACATTTAGGGTTCGTTTAGGATGTGGATTAATTTTTTTTTGATTATTTTAGTTTGAGCTTAAAAAATTTCATTAGGGATGAACTTTTTTCATTTTTTTTTTAATTTTTATGAGAAACAATAAAATAATTATAATTTAAATAATATTTTATTTTATTAATTTTTTAATTTATTTTAATTTTTTATAACCATTTTACCCACGTAATCTCTTCCCAACTGAGTGCTCAATCATCTACCAAACATTAGTCGCACATGCACCGCTTCATCACCATATGACACATGGTCCATTACACCTATTCATTTCCCTATAAATATTGCTCTTCAGAATCACTCTTCTCATAATTTCAAATTTCCTCTCTCTCTCTCTCTCTCTCTCTCTCATCCTAAGCATTTCTTAAAGAAATGGCTCTTATGAGTAGGCCATATGCTTACTCAAAGATGGAAAGAGAAGACCCAGAAGAGATAAAGCATAGAAGAGCACAGTTCTTGATCTACAAAGCACTAGAGAAAGTGGATTCTCAGAGAAGACCATCATGGTTGAGAGTTAGAATCTGCAAACTGAAGATTAAGATTGGGAAGAGATTGAAGAGGTTAAGGAAAAGCATGTTGTTAAGCATGTCTAGAGCTAAGAATGGTGTTTGCAAACAAGTTATTTGTCAATGGAAAACATGGAAGCGCTTGTTCCGCAGTGGTGGACAGGTCATGGTCAATCTTCCTCCTGTGTTTGCTTGAGAAATTTTCTCTCTTGTTTTCAGTTTTTGTTTGTTTGCCAAGAAAAAAGAAACAAGAATGTTACCAAAAGGGTATTTCAATTGAGATTGATTCCCTTGTTTAATCATATTTTCATGCCAATGGTTTGTTGTTGTCTTACCTTGTAATTTGCTCTGCAATTATTCTTCTGCAAATCTGGGTTTTATTTATTTATTTATTTTTATTTATCAAAATTTTGTGCTAGAACTTGTTTGGTAACATCACTTTTTAACCTAAAAGTCAAAAAGTCACTAATAAAAAAATTCAAAAGCCAACAACTCATACCAAAAAATTAAACATTCTATTTTTTTTTTTTACTTTTTATACATCTTTTCATAAAAAAATCAAAAAATATCTCAAACACATTAATTTTTTTTACATCATATTTTAATAAAAAAATAATTTATAAAGCCGGTTCCTAAACAAGGCTATAAAGCATTAGGAAACAACAATATTACATATACTCAAATTTTTTAATCATAATTATCAATTAATTCATTCAAATTTAGGGATTGTTTGGAGTGTCCTAAATAAGTGTACTTTTTGTTTTTTTAGACTAAAAAGTTGAGGTTGAAAGTATGAATGTTTGGATTAATTTTTTGACTTTTTATGAAAAAATGTGTATTAAAAAATTGTATAAATTAATGTGTAGAGAAAAATCAGTATTGGGAGTTGTGCAGCCCTAATTGTTGACTTTTGATGAATGGTGATAACTTTTTAACTTTTTGAACAACTTTTTAATTTTTTGACTTTTTTAAAACTTTTCAAACTTGGCCTTATTATAAATGGATGTTATACTCACTACATTTAATCTTAACCATACACTTGGGAAATACAAAGTCACAAGTGTTTTAGTCGAATTTATTGTCAATTTGACACTTGTGATAAGGTTTGAACATATGACCTCCATCCAAATAAGATCCAAAAGTTTTGATCAATTAGATTAGAACTGATCAATCATCCTTTGAAAGAGCTAAGCTTTGCACAATTTGGGGGATGAGCTGGTGTATGTATGTGAGAGAGAACATGGTTTACAAGTTTATCGGGAAAGATTATATGTATGCTTTCTGGAGGCCTTGATTTTCTATTTTTAATCTTTTTATTTCTTATAGTAAAAGATTCATAATTATTAAGTTATATCTTAAAACTTTTATACTTAAAAGAGATTTTAAATAATTATCAGTGTTTTAAAATTACACAGAAAGCTTTGGAGCAGAGAATCTTTAGTCTTTTTTGCAATATATGTATATATGGTAATTATTCAATAGGTCTTATTTGGTAACTTTTAATTCTAATAAAAAATTAAAAAATGATTATAAATTATTATATTAATTTTTTTTTTGTTTTATGCATATTTTTTTATATAAAAAGTCAAAAAATTATTAAAATAATATTCTCAAACGAGACTTTAGAGCACCATATAACATTTTTTCTAGAAACACTCGATTCTATGTTTTTAATCCATTTGTCTTCTATCATAAAATGCTTACAATTATTGAATTATGTTTTAATTTTTTGTATTTAAAATGATTAAATGATTATTAGAATTTTGAGATAGAAAGATATAATGATTTTGAAAAAAAGGAATATTCATGGTCCTTTTGACAATATATGATATATAAAGTAATTATTCAGTAATTTCAAAACACATGTGAGATTATTTATATGGTGTTCCAAATCAATCATGTAATGAAAATTTTTACCAAATCAATTATGTAATAAATTTTTTTATAAGTATCGTATTTGAGAGTATCAAATGAGTAATGTTTCATGATATTTTAAAAATATCTAATAATGTTTTAAGATATATTTATTGGTATATATATTTAGAGGTGTCTAGATGGTGCCCTTTCAGCCAGCTAGAGAATTGAAGGTTAGGCAGAATGCCAACTCTAATGAAAAGAACATGAGCATGCTTAGCATGTTTGCAACAAAAAGCTTCCATTTAGGTCTCCCCATGTTGATCCCCACCCCAAAGAAAGAAATGAAAAAAAAATAAAATGATCAGCCTACATTTTTGACAAGCAGATACTAATTTATTATTATTATTATTATTATTATTATTATTATTTAATATCAATATATTTTTTTTAAAAAAAGAATACACGACAAATTATCTTCTAACTGTGTTTAGCTTAAGTGAATCTAAATTTAAAAGTAAAATTAAAAATAAAAAAGCATTAAATTAAGTGAATCTAAAAAGAAAATAAAAGGGTTAT